GTAAAGGAGGATCCTCAGACCAAGCGGGGTGATCATGCCAGGCAAGCTATTACCCAACGGTTATACGTTGGGATTTTCAGTCCATGTTAATTCGAATGGAAACTTTGTTTGCGTAGTGTGTGGTGTAGAATTAATTACATATATCATCATCAGGAGATTTTTTTTCTATCTTCCATGTACCTCAGAAATCTTCTTTTGTACTCTTCCCGCGAATAAACTACATATCCAGACAGGAAACAGCAGTATTTTGAGATAAACCTTGACAACTGAAGTTCTAGTTGCGATTATAGCCAACAAAACAAACCTGTAACTTATTATTTTAACCCACCCTTTTTTGAGAGGAGAAAATCATCAAATGACTTCCTTCTCCCGCCCAAGGTCGGGCGGAAAGGAGTGTCAGACTCTTACTGACTAAAAACCCCCTCTTTCTTCTCCTGCTCTGGGCCGAGATCGCGGTGCCGTATTGCGCTTACCCCGCAAACCTGGCTAAAAATCAGCCCTATAGTGCCCCGTCTGTAGTGGTCTATTGGCTCTTTGAGGTGTGTGCGAAACAGGTTCTGGTCGAGCGGGGGCTACCCTTTCTCGCCGTCCGCAGACCCGCACTTACGGTGGCCGGAGATCTTCTCTCGATTTCCGACCCTTAAACATGCTTTTTACAACGAAAATATTTGAAACGTCTAAGTTTGATTATCCTTCAGTCTCATCGACAGTGAAGTTAAGTAAAAAGTGTTATAAGTTAGTCATCATGGTTCGTTACAGAAAAATCACTCAAACGTTTAAGCGAAAATACAGCTAACTTTTTACTACAAAACATAAACTTCAGACTAAGAAAGTCATTTTCGAAATGCAAATAACAACGAAACGGTACAAATAACTATTCAATAGCTTCGTGTGATAGTGGTGGTTATCCCGATCACAAACAAAATGTATTATTCGTCTAGACGCTAGTCAATTGGGACTCCAATCCTAGTCATTATTGCTTTACTATTTCACTGGTTTTACGTGTCTAGAGTTTAACTACAGTTCAAAGTACTGGCTTATGTTAGAGATAAGTTTTATGAACCCCATATAAGCTTTAGTTAGTACTAAAATTTCATACAGTTTAGATATAAAGTTTGATTTTATTTTATCACTGTCCTGGTCCTTGAATATTGCCGCGTAGTTGAGGAACCAACTTGATTACAAAACTGTTTTGAGATCGGGCCCAGTGTCTGGGTAAAAAGTTTACTAAATGTATACAAAAATTAATATAATTATTGATAGTATGGATTTTTTTCTTATATAGACCCTTTACCCTGTCCTTAATAAAAGACACTACAACGACACAACTTATCCAATTTGGTGTGGTCACTTGACATGTAAGGGCCGTACATGCATTTTGATTGTTCATTATTACGTATTTCTTTCTTTCTTTCTTAAGAATAAAAGTTTGTCCGACCAGAGGATTTTCTTCTGTATCGCGGGTGCGTTTACAAACATACAATTTTATTTACTCATCATATCCAGGGGAGGTTTTTCTGATATGTTCCGAGATACAAAAACTTCTGGATCACACAAAAATTTGTATTTTGCGGAAATCGAATCCGCGACACGTTGCACAGCATCCAGTTGCCCAATCACCATGCCAACCGTGCAGTCTAATTTATATAGATATACTAGCAGACCCAGCAACGCTTTGCTGTGGCTAGGGTAAATAATATTGTGACTATAAATTAAGATATAAGCTATCCTATCTTTCAAGTTGGATCAAAATGCACACGGAATGCAAATAAAATTTAAAATCGGTCGGTAGTAGTTTAGGATCAAATTTTTATATATAGATTTGAAAAAAGTGAAATCTAATACAGTAGTTGTCTGTAGGATCAAGATAACTTATCTCCCACATAACATAAGAGAATAAACAAGTTCATTGTTACTTAACAATGTGAACACTATTGTCTCTCTGGATAAGGATAGAAGAAAAGGTAGTTCGGTAATAGACTTATAGCATTGACGTAAAAAACTTAAAAAAATAAGTCAAGTGAGTAATTGTCCAAGCAAGGGATCGGGGTTGAGTCTGAATGTGACATTAAATTTATCTTTTTAAGGGTCTGATTTTCAATGCCTAGTTGGAAAAGGGTTTTATTGGGAATATCTTAGTGTTCAAGTCATTATAGCTAAACTGATATTGCTTAGTGCCTAGTTCAATAGATGTGTTAAGATATTGATTGTTATGATGTGTAAGTTGCATATAGAAGTATCATTAATGGCTAAGCCTATTAATCCAAGATCGGTACCGATTGACGATATTTGAACAGAAATTGCTCTGAAAACCACGTGGGTACATAACATTTAACATAAACATTTTTAAGGTCATTGATAGACCTTGAAAATGTTTTATACAGTTGTTTATTTCTAAAGGAATAACGTTTAATGATATTGATCTTGGCTAAGAGGGCTGGTTCCGATTTCTCACAAGTTCGAAATAGTTGAAGTTTTTATACACAATATCCCAACGACAAAACTATTCCACGAACATAAAATATGCACCTTAATAGCACTGTACGTAAGCCTCTTTTTATCCCAACTCCAAATTTAAGTGCTAGTTTATTATGGACTTTCCTTCTCTTAGTAACATCGAGAAAATGATAAACAGATTTAAAATTCCAGGAACAGTCCCCGGTTTCGTCTCTAATGACATTCATACAAAAACTTCGGAGCTAAGCACAATAATATAGGAAATGTTGACGGTACAATTTTTGAGGAAAATGCTCCAACTTTGTACATATGTATGCTTATTTAATTTAACGTGACAAGCTGTCTTCAACATGATGAGGGTACTAACAACAAAACCTTTTGGTAAATATCTAAATGTCCGTTCAAAACTCGGATATTACGACACCAAATATCATTTTGTTATGTGTGAGTTTTTAATGGCGTCGCATCGCCATCTTTTTTAGGGGATATTGTTTTTGATTACAATCATTTTATATGATAATCACGGAAATAATAATGCCTTTTAACTATTAAATTAGAATACAAGCTGTAAAGAGATAGAGCCATCTTTATTGGTATCAGGATTTAAATAAATCTGTTTGAGTAATGTTTTTTTTTACTTTTAGTCATCAACATCTGGAATCCTGATACGGTCGTCAAAATAATCATTATTATCATCAGCCTTTTAATTTTCACCGCTGAGGTCTCTCCTCACATAGAGAAGGTGTGAATATTAATTACCACCCTGGTTATTATATTCTTATGAATTTTAGGAATTGTAAATTTAAGATGTCATTTACCTTCACTGAACGTCAGTAATGTCTAAGTAAGCTTTAAAAACATATATAACTCGGTAGCAGTCACATTAGTATGAAATTTTTCTAGTCACGTTTTCGAGTTTTGAAGTCACACTTTTATAACCTTTCAATCGTGGTAATACGAGACATAATAGCAGAACAATAGGTACGCAAAAGCTGGTATTCGCTTTGATGTCTTAAGAAGCTAGTGCCTTAATTTTCGAGTCACTAAACATGTCCTTGGTACGGAAGACACTGATGTGTATCCAGTGTAAAAAATCACGTTCTTTATCATTAACTAAATATATCAATACTTTATAAACATAATATATGTAGGTACACTTTAGCTTTTAAGTGTGGGAGAGCCAAGCTTCGGCACGAATGGGTCGGCTCGACCGGAGTGATACCACGGCCTCACAGAATACCGGCGTGAAATAACCCACAATGTTGTGTTTCGCCGTGTGAGTGAGGTTACCGGAGTTTCCCTATCCCTTCCCGATCCTTACATCCGCAACCCTTATCCCCAAAAGGCCGGCAACGCACTCGTAACTCCTTTGGTGTTGCGGGTGTCCATGGGCGGCGCTGATTGCTTACCATCAGGTAATCCGTCTGCTCGTTTGCCGACTTATACCATTAAAAAAGAAGCTTCTTCCTTCGCGGATTATAATTCGGTTTCGAAACAAACACAAAATGAATAAAACCGAGGCCTTGTATAAGTTGTATCACCCGCAAATCTTCCAACACAATTTATTAGTAAACGAGGTAAATCTATTACGGTGCTGCGAGCTCAGCTGTGGTAAATGGATTACTTCAGGCTTGCCAGACCATAAAGCAGTACTAAACTACTTATTACTTGATCACACGCTGTGGTTACCTAGATAAACTCTGTTATACCGGTCTATTATTCCTCTAGATAGAACCCCCCGGAACCAATGGTTGAAAACAGGATTGTTTGAGTTTGGTACTTAAATTATTTAAGTACCGTACTTAGAGGTATTTAATGATTACTTAGTAACGATATTTGTTACAGAAACAAATGCTAAAGAATGGGTTAAATACTCTGTGAAGCAGCAAAGTCAAAGGTCGTACTTTTGAAATGTCAAATAATGAAATTGAATAAATAGTCCGTCAGTCTGTCCATCACTGAAGCTAGACGCTTCTTCTAAAGTAAAGATTCTAATTCGGAAGAATGAGGTGTTGCAAGTAGCGCCAATTGCTATCAGATCAGGTGGGTACTTGATAGTAAGCTATCGGCGCTAACAAAATAAAAAAAATGGGAATCTAAATTGAAAAGTAAACGTATACGATTTTTATAACAACAACAATAGTTAATATAACATTATTTAACTTCATAAAATATGAAAGAAAAAACAAGTAACTGTAAAAATAGCAAACATTTTAAATGCTGCCTTTACAGTTCAATTTTAATTCTACTTAGGAACACGATTAAGGCAATCATTCGTTTTGGAAGTAACATTTACGATGTAAACTTAGACCTTTTACCAATTTTACTACCTACATAAAAAGTGTAAGAGATAGGCCAATCCACTGATGACTAACGTAGGTCTAGAAAAAATAAATTAACTACACAGGCATCTTGCGTACAAAATGCACTAATAAGGATAGCTTCAACATCCCACTGGACTAGTCCCAAAAATATCCATTGCACGTTTTTTAGAACAAATTGTTTCAACCTGTATTTGTCAGGGATGGCACTCAACCCAGCAACTACCTGTAGATCATGTACGCCGAGTAACTGCAAAGGGCACGTAAAGGTTAACCATAATCTGACATTGATACGAGTAGAGAAAGTATCTTATCAGAACAATAAGTATACAATTTTACCAAAGGTTTGCTGGCTTTATACGGGTATCCAAGTCGCTTTTACTCGAAAGACACTTTTTAGGGCTCCATTGTAAACTAGGAGCCTTTATAGTTTTGTCATGTCCGTCTGTCTGCCCGTCCGTCAGCGGATATCTCACTGGTCGTAAGCACTGGATAGCTGAAATTTGATAATGTTAATGTTGCCGGCAAAAATCGCTCCAGACGCTAAAAAAAACTATGCCAACGTCATATGTATTTGGCAAATGACATATTAATGTTGGCGATCTTCAATGACCATTTACTAAATAAGTTTAATATCTTTTGATAGAAGTTTATCATGAACAGGTCCATAGTAGGGGCATGTGGTTGAGGACTCTCATATGAAGGCACGTTGCTCCTTCGACGGTCAATTGACTTTGAAACTAGAATTCGATCGCTCTCCCCAACTTGGAGATGGTTCGAGAGGACTTCTCGCCCGTTATTTCTTTTGAACCACCATTTTGAAAAGATTTGTTTTACGTTTACCCCTTTTTTCGTACTTTAAGCCTACTACAAAAAAATGGTTTTGGTTGTGAGAGAATTTTCTTTTTATAATAATTAAATATTTAAAAAAGTAATTGTTTATTAATTTTAAATTCGTACACTAAACTAACTAGGAATTGAAATCAAATATTTAATTTCCTATTTGGCTTTAAATGGATAAAATAACGTGCCTACTTTTAAACCTTTCAACAAATACTGACAGTTTAACTCGAAATATTATACCTACAAAATATTATATTTTATATGAAACTATATCTAAATATTATATGCAGCTTAATCCAAACTAATATTATAAATGCGAAAGTAATACTCTGTCTGTCTATCTGTCTTTTCTTCACACCTAAACTACTGAACCGATTTCTGTGATATTTGGTACAGACATAGTTTGGAACTCCGGAAAGGACGTAGGACAGTTTTTATACCAAAAATCTGCAGGAAGTCACTACTTCTCTCCACGGAAACGAAGTCGCCGGCAAAAACTAGTACTTTATAATTCGAACGTTAAATTTGAAAAACGAAAGAACGAGTAAAAATAACGTTCATTCTATTGATTGTAAGCTTCAAACAATATAATCATTTTTACAATCTTACAATCTGGTATAAAAAAATAGCTGTAACTTCAATGTGTTATATCCTCAACCTCACGATGTCTGAAAGCACTAATGCCTTTCAGTTTTGAATGAACAATAGACTTCATTATATCGTAATAGCTTCATTGTCTCTCATGCAGATATGAATGCTTAAATCATGGCTTCGAGTAGAATAATAATGACTTTCTACTTTTTTAGAACTTTAAGAGTATATTTTGGTAAAGACTTTTGATACGTGGAAACAAATTTAGATCAATAAGTATACCTACTATAATATTACGAAGAAACATAATTCGCAATTTGCCTTAATATAAAAAAAAATTGTTATAATTCAAAGAAAAAAAAATTCCTAGAATATAGTATCTTTATATAGAAAAGTAAGCTTTTTCTTCTTTTGTTACACATACTTTCCTAGAAAACGTATGTACTTACCGCAATAAACGTACGTATCGTCAAAGAAAAATATGTGTTAATTTATCAATAGACCATACTAATAGTGCTTACGCACTATGTAGTTCATATTTTTATGGTCTTTGTTGTCTTTAACAAATAACCTATATACATAATTATGTTCTTCGTATGTTTTCCAAGGAAGAGGATAGCAAACCTCTTCCAAGAAAGATCTATATTATCTAATGACTGTGACTGTGTAAGGATGACGGTAACCACATAAATTGTTAGAATCCTTTTTGAAAATCGTATCTGGTCACTAGTCACCCTTCACATAGTACCACATAGTACAAACTAAAATCCTATTAATTCGAGCAAGATGGAAAGGCTCTCCGACACAAGATGGTATGACAGCAGTTTCCTAAACTTTGATTACAACGTGACAGGCGCGTTCAAACTTCCGATAGATTCCACCAGTGAGACGTCGCCATATCTGATTAGCTTGTGAACTTGTTACAGTTTGCCACTACTATTGGTGTTGGTTGTATGTAGTTTGTGAAGGGACGACAGTGCAAAATTTGTCGAAAACATTTTACTTGTTCTAATTTGTTAGTTCTAATTCTGTGCCAATATGTTTTATTATAATTTATCACGTTTTAGTGCGCAGTTTTTCTCAACTTTAGTTTTCAAATTAAAAAAGCGCCAAAGAACGTTTCGCCCAGTGTCTGTGAAACTGGTTGCGGCTCGGCATAACTCTTTGTGTGATCCACAATTTGTTGTTTCAGGTCTGGGTATTATATGTATGTGAATTCGAATGTTTGCACAATACAAAAGGAAATCCTAGCAGCAACGTTAAAAAAATATTGCATGGAAAAAGTCGCTCTAAAATTGAAGCTCTCGGAATACTTAGCTATCCCAAAATGTGGTTCCCTATAAGTAAAAAAAAGACATCTTGTTCCTTCTCCTGTTCCTGACCGGGGGTCCGGCACATCCATCGGTTCTTTGGCGCTCGCTAAAAACGCTACGTGCTCGGGTATGCCCGGTCTGGTTCTGGTTGTACAGCTAGCTACCATTGATCGCCGGACCAGCGCTTCGGCTAGCTGTCGATCACCGCCGTAGGGGTTCGAGGAGGATAGTTCTCTGCCCTTCTCCACTAAGTTGACTTCTGGTTTGGTGTCTGTAATGCCAATAGACCACCAGACCACCAAACTACTCTGATCAAAAGACAACCAATGGTATGATTGAACGATGGCACAATAATTTACTTTCCTATTTGACTTTTAAATGTTTTAGTGGTTACAATTACTTTGCAATTTTGCTATAGGTAATAATGTTATTTTAACGAACATGGAAACACTTTGAAGGAAATAAACACCAAGCAGTAAATCTAATCAATGCTTAAAAGCCCTTTATTACTAAACAATTTAAGGCAAACAGCCTTAATGACAATATTCATTATTCAAATAAACCACGGTAACTAAGGGTCAAGCTAACCTCAAATATTGGGCCTCGAGCTTGCAGGTCGAAGTATTTCCGGGTGAATAGTCACATTATTTACATAATCCCTGGGATTTCATACTGCCGGCCTTGCTCGAGCTCAATGCAGACCAAACGTTAAAACCCTCTTATGTTTGTAATTACATACAAATAATAGTGGGGGATATACTAAATGTTAGATGAGATCCTCTTAATTTAGCTCTTTTTTACCCCTATTTATAGATAGATTTTAAGTATTTTTGAACTCTATGCCCATAACATAAATTATTTTTCGAAAGGCGATAGATTTTGCGGTCGTAGAACAAGAGTTCTCTTGTTCTTGTGTTCTTCAAAAAAAATTTGGGACTGGTCTCTTTATCCACCTACCGGCCCATCGTGTTTCTAACAAGATGGGATAACTATTTGAGGGAATAATCTTATACTGCTTTGTGATGTGTCAGGAAGGGTGCCTGACCTAAAGGACAGACAGTCTGTCAGCGTCCGTGGAAGACGCTGTATGATGGACACCATCATGCTGCAGTATTGTGCGAGAGAGTTGACGTGTGTCAGGACATACCTACCGACCTATCTACCAACCAACTTACTTTCATAGAGCTGCACCCTGGAAGCTCTCCGGTACTACCGGGTACCTTGCCCACCTTCGTTGTGTAGTCGAGGCCTATCTGATTGACAGTTCCGTCATCTACCCCGCTTACTGGGGCTTGTGGAATCGGTGAAAGATGTAGCGCTGGGTTCATCAAAACCTCTTGATAATTCTATGAAAATCGGGTACGATATTAGTATGGTAATGCGCACCTAACTTCCTAACAGCGTTGACGCTGCTGTTCCGCTGACGATGACGCTGATAATCGGTAACGGGAAGTTGCATTAGTCAACTTGCAGGTCTGCTGACGGGGAGTAGAGGTAGCTCGCCGTCCGATCTGAACCAGACCCGATTTAGTTTTTATATTAATTTAACCCACCAACTCTACAATCTTGGCTTATCTCTATGTAAAATTCCACCATGATATGAACGACAAGTTCAAAATTCTTCCTTATTTTCTCTAACACACTTGAAAGTCGATTCTCTCTGTAAAATTCTAAACAATAAACGATAGCATGTCAAGTCACCAATTCTATAGGTCGTTCAATTTGTTTCGCTTTGATTCTTGTCCGTTGAACAAACAATATGGCCACGAAAGTTGGCCCATCGATATTCACAGCACGTATTTGTTGCGCGAGGAAAGCAAACTGATCGCCAATATCGCATTTCAAGGTTCCATATCAAATCTTTACAAGGCATGGTTTAGGAAAACTAAAAATATTGCTATCTCTCACTTTTAAGAGGTGGAAAAGAAAGGAATAGATGTATTATGGGACAAAGAAACTGGGTTTATGAACAAAACAGTGTTTCATTGGGGGAAAGGATTGCTGTGAACATTTAAGTGTCCTGCATATTCAAAATATATATTTTCTAGTTTTCCTGAAATTATTTTTGAAGCTCAAAACTTTACTTGAAAAGGGCATTTTTAAATAGAATTTTATCGTTTGAAAATCTTTGACCCAATATTTTTTGATAGTTTACTATAGCCAACAATGGGACAACAAAGCAGTCACTTTATACACAAAATAATTTTTAAATTCAGCCTGCGTGGAATCTGAGCAAAGAGGTTGTTTTTTTATTCATTTGAATTTATTCCGATACTGTGAGAAGTTTGTAAAGTTTCACAGCTCGCAGTGGAAACTCACATTTATTTTATATTATCCGTTGCACATGATATTCTTAAATCTGAAATGGTTAACCAAAGCGACCGGCATAAAGAAGTTTTATTATGACTGTGAACTTGCTTTGCTTTTAATAAGATATCCGTTTATTATCAGAATATTTTCAAAAACTTCCCTTAAAGACTGCTGTACCTAATTATTATACCGCTTAAAAGCACGCTGTCAAAGAGCTGACTTCCAAGAAAGTTAATATTCTTGATCAGACTTTTTGCCCATGAATAGCAACAGTGATTGTCATACAACCCCAAGTCCAACAAAAAAATCTAATATCACAATAGCTTATACTACTTTACTACCAGAAACTGGTTGGCAGAAAACCAAAAATACATTTTCCTAATCCGAAAAGTCAAACGAAATCCAAAAAGAAAGATGGTGTAATATATGGATTCGTGTGCAAAATTTTACTCAACGAATAACAAATTGGAGAAAAATGATTTAAAAAGCTGTGGTCGTTGGTGTACGATTTAGTATTGTAGTTTATCAGACAAATGCACTTGGTACTGTTTGACAACCGCAATATCGAGGATGGTGGCGTACCGGGAATCTTGAACGTGCTTCTCACAATTTTGACTAATATCAAGTATCATATTCAGTTACATTTTGGTTCAGCTCCAGGAAATTTGAGGGAACGATGAATTTCTTGCCAGAAGCATTGTTAGTGAAGATTGCGGGTTTCAAATTGTGAGAATTGTAAGTTTATTAAGTATGTAAAATAGTTGTGCTTTGGGACCAATTTAACTGTAAAATACGTTGTTGTTAAAAAACTGAAGATTGCTTAAGACCATTTTGTAATTATCAACATATCAGAAACAAAATCAACTACAAAACAACTATCGGTAAACATAAGCCTCACTTCACGTATTGAAAGCAAACTGCATTTGATGGTTCCCTGATCGACGTGAAAAGCCTAAGCGTTTTATTTTAGGCACACTTTTTACGTATGATCCGAATTTTTTACCTACTATTTGAATGGTGACACTTTTAAAAAAACTTTATAAGCTCGAGTACATATTCAAAACCAAATTAAACATCTAATTTTCAAAAGGACCACTTAAAATATCTAAAAGTGAGTTCCATCAGTAGCACCACCGTCCTAGGACATAAGTACGTACTTGGGGGCGTGAAATACACTTTGAAATAACATGTAAGCGAGTTCGTGGGAACAGCTGCGAATTATGCCAAGTGTTCATAATTTTGTTTGGCTGACGACGTGGATCGTAGAAACTTTAGAGATCAAATGACTGGCTTTAGTGTGCACAAAATGGGTCTAATGATAAAATTTATGCTGAAAATTATCCGCTTGTAAATTAATGTAGTATGTTAATCTTGTTAATGATTGCTACATTAAAATGTATTGCTTTGGGAATTATGATGGTGTGGGTTTAAAGAACATTTTTTTTTTGTTACAAAATGAATAGGTACTTTGAAAGGCTCGGTAATAGTTACATAGAATTTACTTTGTAAGCTCTTAATTTTGGGTTATATATATAACTAGCTGCTCTCACACGGTTTCACCAGCTGCTCAGCTCCTACAAATCATAGCATGATGTTGCCTCGTAGCATGCTGATAGCCTTTCTCGATAAATGGACTAACAAACACTAAAATAATTGTTTTATTCGAATGAGTACTTCTGGAGATTACCGCGTTGAAACAAACAAACAAACTCTGCAGCTTTATAATATTATATACAGTAAAGAACAGACAATTATGACCCAAAAATGTATTCTATATTTTCTTTTTTTACACTAAGCCATTTAAACGGCACGAATTTATTACGTTGTAATAGAAGCTCCAGTTATTCTATCTGTAATGCCTTTGAATGCACTCTACTGGCTATTGTCCGCATCATTCCTATGATGTGCATCAGATACACAATTAGTGGACATATTGCCATGAATTCAGGTAGTAAATTGATTCCCGGACGTTGATAAAGCCTTTCGTTCGTTCGATATGCAAAATAGATTCATTTGACGAGATTTATTCGAACAAGTAAGAGCTTACGCGGCTCTACGATAATTCTCTCTGACTGTTTTAGTTCCCCGAATGCATTTGGTGGATAAATAAATCCACCTAACGTTATTGTTACGTTCTGTGCGAGTACACGGACTAAGCCACAATAAGAGAAAAAATTCTCATACAATATTTAGTGCATTTTTTAGGATTCACTCTAAGGCCTAAATTTGGATAGGTTATGCTGTGCGACGAGCGCTTGTCGTACATTGCAGCAGCATGCTGTGTCATCGCTACCGAGGGTCGCTGTTAATAACAGCGACCTTCGGTAGCGATCTTAGCGGTGCTATAATATAGCACCGCTAAGATCCTTTTTTGAGAATTGGCTAGAGAGACGCGGGTCTCAGAATCCTCCTCACGCATCAGTCGCCGCAGGAGTAGACACTACGAGTATCGGGGATCGCGCGATGATTTCTGGACACCGTAGGCGTGGGTCTGTAGACGAGCAAGGATAGTACACGGACTAAGCCACAATAAGAAAAAATATTCTCGTACAATATTTAGTTATTTTTTTAGGATTCACTCTAAGGCCTAAATTTTGATAGGTTTACGCTTATCCTGTGCGACGAGCGCTTGTCGTACATTGCAGCAGCATGCTGTGACATCGCTACCGAGGGTCGCTGTTATAGCAGCGCTAAGATCCTTTTTTGAGAATTGGCTAGAGAGACGCGGGTCTCAGAATCCTCCTCACGCATCAGCCGCCGCAGGAGTAGACACTACGGGTATCGGGGATCGCGCGATGATCTCTGGACACCGTAGGCGTGGGTCTGTAGACGAGCAAGGATAGCTCAGAATAGCTAATAAAACCCCGAGCGTATGGCACGTAGCTTTCATTTCTTGGTAAGAAGATAGCTAGCTAACTAGATTTCTCAAGTCAGTAAGAGTGTGACACTCCCTTTCGGCGCACCCAGGATGACAGACGATATTTGATGTTTTTTATCATATCAAAAATTAGGAAGCGTCTCATCGCTTTTGTAAACACAAACGTTTTTCAAATATTGCCCAACTTATGCGCAACGACAGACTTTGTCTTTTCTTCTTTCTTTAAATTCTCACTGATACTATTTTAATCATCTAGTAAATGACTTAGTTAACAACAAAAAAACAAATGAATCAAATATACATAAACTAGGTAAACGTCAGGAAATTAAAAACACGTCATGTTACGTCACTGGTGGCTTCCATTCTGTCCGGAGTTCGTTTTTGAGGCCGTCAACTAAATACTGCGGTCATTTTCTGCTATGTTCGACCTACACTCTCGTCCTAACGATGTTTGGTGACGGCTGTCAGTTTTATTTATTGAAAATATTTATTCAGTCTCCAATATCCACACAGTACGGCATATAAAAGATAAAATTGTGCAGACAGTTTTTCTAAAACTAAAGAATGCATATTAAATATACAAAAAAGCTGTAGTAGGAGTGAGCCTTTTACCAAAGACTTGGCCCAATTCCAGGCTCCATTGAGACTAATACTCAGTGTTTGGAATTCGAAAAATAAAATCGACCTTTGCCTGATTCGGTTTTGAAGACTCAATGGTAGTTTCTTGTGTTGCTAAACTAAAGAATGGTGGTACTTTTTTATAGTAAGCAAAAGGATGATATACATAATACATAGAATTTCTTCGAATTAACCTTTGTAGTACTTACCCACCCGATAGTAAAAAAGCAAGCAATGTTCTCGTAAAAATAAAAGCTAATTGCTTAATTCGGGAGATAGTTGTCAGCTCTGTAATACTGATTATACGACTTTAGGCTTAAATACCTTGCAGCAATTGTAATTCTTAGTGGAGAATTACACAAGATTATTGTCCGTAGTAATCTTGTTTTACAAATACTTCGACTTTTAATGGAGGTTCCGTAACAAAGGTTAATTGCCTCTTTGCTTAGTAGTTACTTACCGTTTTATTCTATGGTAACTTTATTGGTTATCCATAGCCTTACGTTTAATTTATAATCAGAACCGCTAAGGAGTGGAATTCTTTGCAGACGTCTGTGTTTTCCAAAGTGGTGTCTTCAAGGCCCGAGTAAATAGGTTGCATATGGATAGGCGTGCTCCATAGTAGGTCACATCATCGCTTATCACCAGGTTGATGCATTCTTTTTTTAATTTATAATGGTGTAATCAGTTTGGTAATCGTCCACATTCTTTAAGAGAGTTGGATTAGTTTATATATCATACTACGGAGTTTGCCTTATCTATACTAATATTATAAAGAGGTAAAATTTGTAAGTTTGTATAAAGGGGGTAATCATTGGAACCGCTGCTGGTCGGATTGCCAAAATTCTTTCACTGATAGATAGTTAAATGTTCCTGAGTGCTGTAGGCTATAAAACATCACGCTACGATCAAATAATAATACGGAGCTGAGCAGCGGGTGAAACCGCGTAAGAGTAGCAAGTACTTAATATATTCTTTATTATTTTGTTGGATTTTATCTCTCTAAAATTAGCATATTTTTATACAAGAGAGCTATAATTCGGTTCGGCCCTATACTATCTATTGTCTGCCCGTAGAGCAGACCTAAGCCGAAAAAAAATTGAACTTAAAATTGAAGTACAATGTTTAGACTTAAAGTTAGCTAGGTGTTAGTATCTAGTATCTCAGTAGACCTAGTAAACAAACTAGAGCATTGTACTCAGTAAAAACATTCAAAACATCGAGAGACATAGAAACGAGACAACCTAAATTACATTATTCTTAATTACCTATTTGTCCCTTTTTGGTTGTTATACTCATTTGGATTTTGATCACGTATTCCTTTTCATTACTGTACATTACTGTTAGGCACTAGGTAGTCATAAATAGGGATATAAATTCGAGGAACGGTAGAAAACGTGCAGGTAGGAGATAAAAGTAAAATTTGGTGTGTACTGGAAGGACAATTTGACTAACATATTATTACACTTGTTGTAAAACCACCTCATTGAGAGTTGTCAAATGATTGTGTACCAGACTTGTCTCACTAGCTTAAACACTATACCGTTCCTTCTCCTGCTTTGAGCCTATGAGACAACCAGCTTAAGATATTGACATCATCAACAAACTTTTATGAACTAGATCATATATTTTGATAATCACCACGTCGAACAAATATTTGTAATTTAACAGTTGCAAATAAGTAGGAATATATAAAGATCACCAAAAAAACCATATGTAAAATTAGCCTCAATAATACAAATATCTATTTAAATAAGTTTTAATTACAATTTCTACAAAATGGCTTCTTACAAACTAATAATATTAAACTAAACCCTCCACTTATACCTTAACATAAATTATTAAGACCGCTTTCAAATTTGTATCTTATGATTCCTATTGATGATCGACATTCCTTCAATTAATTTTACCATTAAATATACCAAAGATGTGTTTTAAATAACTGTAATAAACTGCTGTCGCGTGTACACCGAAACATATTCGTTTTGAATTCATATGAATGTATTTGCATGACTTAATTGGATAATCAATTACAGGTCACTTGATCGAACGTCGTTACATCATCACATAACAATTTGTTATTAAGTATTAATTATCTAATTTTCACGATCTGTTAAACTTTATTTGTAATGCACCCAATTTTTCTAGTTACCTGGTGTCGATTAAAACATTCTAGGTAACAGCAATTTAGGTGTTACAAAAACTACTACGCCTCCCACTCCACCATCAAATTACTTTACAAAACACTTGGCCTTTTAACACTAACCAAAGGACTAGAACTCATAAATATATTACAATCCACCCAAAATTCAAGGAACAGTGACAGGTAAAAACATTTGAGGATCACCTAATTTTGGTTCAAAGCGAATGTTTACTTTTGTGTCACCATCGCCTACTTCTAAGAAGCTGTTCCAATCAAGCATCCAGTAAAAGCCGTTCTTCCTTGGAGGAGGTAATTCTGAGTCCCCGGGTACTGAAGGTGCTGCTCCTCCAAACGAATCTTCCAAATCAGCTATTGAAGCTCCTGAATCATCTGCAGATACCGACGAATCACTCACAGCATTTGTTTTTGGTTCTTCAGTAGTAGTGGTTGTAGTTGTTTCTGCTGAAATTGTTTCCACTTTCTCAGTAGTTGTTGTTGTTGCTTCTTCTGCTTGCCTTTTACTTTGATCATTGTTTGTATTGACTTCTTCATTGATAGGATTAATGCCCTTATTCAATGGTATTACTTTGACTGATTCATAGTCAATCGGTTCGTAGTTTGGTACATGAACAGATTTTGTCTTCCTCACTGGCATGTCGTATGGAAGGCTAACTTCTTTTGTTTCGGAAGATGATGTGTCTAATTCATATGGTAACTCAGGTCGTAGTGGTTCATATAAAAAGTTATTTGGAGACAAAGAATAAGTTCCATCGTTCTTAGTCTTTGAATCACTGCTAGGTGCTATCAAATCGTAAGTAAGTAGTATATTTTCTGGTAATTGTACTGTACCATCTACCACTTTGGGGGGTGGTAGAGGTTTGAAGCCTTCAAGAGGTAATAAGAAATGGTCTTGACCTGGTTTTCCCTCTAGACCGTGAGCATCTAGAAAGGCTTGTAATTCTTCGGGGAAGTTGTCAATCAATTTTTCAGGCAAGTTGTTATTTGGCTTTGCGGTTTTTTGCTTAATTTGTGTGGCTTTAGGTCTCGGGGTAGTACTTGGTAATGCTACAACTTCAGTTCGTGGTGGTCTTGTATACAATTCTTGTAATGAAGATCCATCACGTGGAGTATAAGGTAGAACCACCATTAATGTGGGGTCAGCCTTTTTCGTGGTCGTTTCAATAGTCGTAGTTGGGGATGGAATCTTTTCACTTCTTTTACTATCAACCTTTGGGTTTAATTTCGGCTCTAGTGAATTTATTTCGTTTTCGATTGTACTATAAGGCGTTGTCGCTGTTTCTTTCTTAACTTCTTTTGATTCTATAGATGTTGATGTTGATTTGGCATCTTCAGCCCTAATATCATTAAGTAGTTGTATTATTTCATCTCTTGTCAATCTTGGTAATAATTGATTTGACTGTAAAATATTTTGGACTTGTTTAACGGTTTTTTCTACATCCAACGCAGCTCCAGAAATGGTTACTAAAACTGCGCAAAAGCAGCACCAAAAGAGCTTCATTTTCTGTAACAAAAAGAAAACATAAATTGAAACAAAATGCTATCAAATATCGTTACGAGTCATTAAAAGGTTCAAGGTTCGGGATAAAAATTGGGAGAAACAGTTAAGAGATCAAATATCGGCATTAACTTTGACAGTCGATAGGTCATGGCTTTTGTTGTAAAAAAAAAACGATAGGACAGCTATTTTGAGTTCCAATTACGATCAAGCTCAACTGACTTATAGATTATTTTACTGTTTACGTTTTTTATGCCCAGACCAAATACAGCGTTAAGAATCGTAAAATATGTGTACAACTTTCTCGGGTTCAGCCTCGTATTTTTTTATCTTATATATATGGAGATGTAAGCTTAACAAAAGGCTTTGAAAACTAAAAAGGTTTCAATTTTTAACTTATCTGTAAAACTGATCAAACGAACTAAATATTCATAGTAAAAGTCTGTCTAATCCAAATAAAGTAAACGGGACTGTATAAGCTAAGCAGAGTTGGAGTTATCTCTGTAATTACAGTTTGAGTAACATAGCTGTACCATAATCGTAATTCCCAAAGTTGGGAAGGAGGCCAGGATATCGGGAAGTTGTTATCGTTTCAAAAGTTTCAGCTCTTGGATCACTTATAAGACGCTCCACTCACATCTGCGATGTATAAGAAAAATGTTATGATCTTTTCTAAGTAATGACCGGGTAAACTGTGCGTTAATGTATCAAATGGGCTTATGGCTCGTTCTTTGAAACTTTTATTGCTCTATTCCGTATTTATTAATTACTTCTGCCCCATTGGGAGCATTATTTAACGATGTCATTTCTTAATGGGTTGGTTTTTATCATTTCTCATTTCTTAAATCGTTGCGTTTAGCGAATATCAAATCTTTTTGTTTTTTTTTTGTCGTCAGTATAACTGAGCAATTGGTGATTAGTATAAAATAGGTATGAAGGATTTTCTTGCCTTAAAAATTATACGCTACCTGCGAAACAGTCCAAAATTATTTTATTTTCAATAAACGAACTGAGTCTCTTCTTTTTATTACAATCGTTTCTTCTTTCCATTTTTGAAGAAAACTTTTAGACAAAGTTTAGATCTACTGATACAATCCCCTTAAGTTGAAATCGCAGTCCCAAATGATATTCAGAGATTGCTCGTTGAGATATAAGATCGTCAAGAGTACGATTGTGCAAATCGGAATCTAGTCTTAATAGGCTTAAAGTATGTAAAAGTAAAGTATCATTGTTATATTCTTTGATAAGTAGATAAGTTGAATAAAATCAGATTTTCACAAAGTCCTATAGAAAGCGAGCTAAAGTAACGTTGGTATTTTTTTTTGTCAGGGGAAAATCGTACGCTACGCGCCATCCGCTCGGGTAAAGTAACGTAGGTCTAAAGTAACATTAGGTTGATTTTAATTAAAATTTTACTAATACGAATAATTTTAAGCATTGCTTTTTTATTTATTTATTGGGATACCAACAGCACGCATATTATAAACTATTTATAAATACTAGTAATAAATATACCAAAGACTACATAAGCATGCCTATTACAGGTACACACACCGTTCATACATAGACTACTTAATTATTTAGAGAAGAAATAATGTACTAATAATATGATTAACAATGTTGACAACAGTAAAAAACCAATAATAGTGATCATACAATTTACACGTCCCTGTCATCAAGGCCTTGATAAAAACAGATAAAAACATTTTACATATTAACCATTTTTATTTTAAGTCAAGAGATAAAACCTCACATATCGACAAACTTAATAAAAAAAATGTGTAGTAGTATTTATTCAAATCTTTATAGGTAAGTTAAAGACAACACCAGTACGTCTGAAAATGAAAAACTTCATCAATTTTCACTTTTCTTTAATTTCCTCGGGTGGATAGCAGGCAGAACATTTAAAAAAGTGTATTTTATTTAAAATGACGTATACTGTTTCTTCTCTCCTTAATGTCAAGAGAAAAAAATAGGTTGCTAAAGGTTTGTAGGCCAACGGCTGGGGTGCAATTAGCGACAAGTGTCATAGAGCTTGTCTAGATGAAGCGTTTTACGTGCAATTGCGCAAATAAAATGTTTTTGCGTCTGTTGTTTTCATTAAAAGGACGAAGGTTTAATAAACATCTTCTTTAAATGAATAGGACTTTATTTAGCTGTTTTTTTTTTCTAATAAGGTGACAAGAAAAATACTGTCATAAACTTCACAGTAAAAAAAAAAATCACCAATTAAAGACAAAAAATAACCACTTGACCATAAAAATAGAATTTGTGCATGAATTCACTAAGAATTTTAGTAATCAAAAAAACTTGAATTAACCTACTTTGCTATACGGAAAAAAAGAATAAACAATAATGTTGAGTTTTTTCCTTTAACAAATTACTACAGACTATAATACTCTCAATTATCTATAGCATAAAACCTCGAATTGTATATCATCTTATCATAACAAAATTTTGGTATTCACTTATCTCTAATTGTATTACTTTTTAGTAACCACATGATTAAAACCAAGTCTGTAAATTCCACTGGCCTACTAATCAATCATGACTTGACGACACGCACGCATGCCAAATGAACTCTCTAGCAGTAACTAGTCAAGTAGGTTATTATATCATACCACAAAGTCATGAATACAATCGTAATTTTGTTAACAGTGAAATTCTAATTGCGAGCCATCGTGTTCTGCTTTCAAAGAAGTATTTTGTTACATGCGTGCAATGTTTGAAGTACAATTATTTTAGCGTCCTCTGTTTAAAAATACTTATGTCTGTCTGTGAAAGATATTCGAATAAATCCCAAACAACCTGAGCCTGAGCGTGCGAAGAAACACTGACCAACTTGAACCTGAGGTTTTTAATTTATAATTTGTAATAAGATAGTTAGATAAGAAACATAGAGACAGTTCCGAAAGTAAAAATATTGTTCATGTTTTATTTTAAGGGAACTTTGCCCCACCCTGGAGGAATATCTCCTAATTCACGAAAGTTCCGACAAATATACCATTTCACAATCAGAACAGAAACAGCAATCTGTGGATTACAGAGAGTGTTCGTCTGGGCAGGAGTCGAATTCTCTACATGTTGCATGGTAGCCGGTTGCCCAGTCACCGCGGGAACCGTACAGTACAAACAGAGAGGTCTAATTTTATATATCAAGTCAACCAAACGCTAAAGGACTGGTACCGTGATCGATGGCACTGCTTATGAATCCTAATCTGAGTGTGATTAGGATGTAGTGGGGTCGTATAGCATTTGCTATACGAGTATTCTCTATTATAATTTTCCAAAAAAAATATAAATATGCACGAATTAAACAAAACAATAAAATTGCATTTACAACAAAAAGACATTCCATTCATCTTAAAATAACAGATTTCTGCAACGTAAACTGGATTTAACGACATGTGTACGAACCGTGACGATTTATCACGAAACACTTTCTATGTATTGCTTCGTTAACATTCGTGATGCAACATCTCTCACTGGATAATTACAAAGCGTAATGCTTGATAATTATTTACAAAACGTGGAGCGTATTTTAGAAGTGAGATGTAATTTGCTGGATTTCATATGTGGCTTTAAAAATGTTATTGTGTGAGTATGCATTACAATAGATTGATAGATTATTAGACGAATTTATTATGTATTGCATATTTAAACATAGGTTTAACATGTTACAATGGGTACACAAGTGTCAGACAGCCATGCTTCGGCACGAATAGGTCGGCTCGACCGGAGTGATACCACGGCCTCACAGAATACTGGCGTGAAACAACTCACAGCGATGTGTTTCGCCGTGTGAGTGAGGTTACCGGAGGCTCAATCCCTCCCCTTCCCCTACCCCTTCCCGATCCTCATATCCGCAACTCCAATCCCTAAAAGGCCGGCAACGCACTCGTAACTCCTTTGGTGTTGCCGGTGATCATAGGCGGCGCCGATTGCTTACCATCTGGTAATCCATCTGCTCGTTTGCCGACTTATACCATAAAAAAAATACTAAAAAAACGACTAAAAAATAATAATTTCAGAAATATACAACGGGCGGTCATAACGCACTGGATTATTTTTGGATGCACAAGGATAACTATGAGCAGCATGTTTGGGCAACCCCAGGTTAAATTTATGAAGACCAAGTTGACAAATAACATTATTTTTACTTGTTAATTTATAAGTTTCTATTTTTTGTTTTCTAACTTACTTTTATCACTATTACTCAGTGAGCAATGGACTATACATACTTATATAATATTCTTTTCTCCTTATTTAAAATCAGAATTATGTTGGTTTGTACTACCGCTGGCTCACTCAGTATGTGACCTATGTCAAATCCTCATAGTATAAACAACAGTTGTATTAACAGTGACTGGTTAAAGTCATGGAGCATTTTGCGCTTTCACCGTCGCTCTTTATTGTGAATCTGCGTTAGTGCCTTTTAGTGGGGCATTGATGGATGTGTTCTTCACAGTAGGCATTCGTATAATAATTTTTCTGACTAAATGAACTGTCTGGTCTGATAACATTTCTGATAAGTGAACTCCAAATATACATATTATGTCGTTCTAAAATCTACTCAAATGCAAACGAAACGCATAAATTCTTGGATTTCATTGAAATGACTGCCATCCCAGAACATGATATAGGGCACTGTTTACGACACATAGGAAATTCACAAGTGACCTAAAAATAAATTCACTTTTTTACGATAGGCGATGAACGTTTGCAGATTTGTGTTCAATGTTCCACCGTTGTATATTATTTTATTAATTGATAAGGGACAAAATTAGGAGAAAAATGTGACATTCAAGAAAACCTTCGATCAGGATTTTCACCAGGGACAGTCAGTGCCTCATGCCGACGACGTTTTAATTTTATGAAAGTAGAGTATAAGCCAAAACTGAATGACTAAACGGAGATTAGGTGATTTTGAGTTAATGGTTACTAAGAATTTGGTCCTTTGATACAACGTCAAAAGGACCAAATTTTGAAAACTAGTCAAAGTTTAG